CCAGAAGGGCTGACATAGGTGCGACAGCGAAACACCCAGAGATGGAGAGAGAGAGCTGTTCAACTTTGTATGCGATCGCCGATATCCCGGCATCGCTGCCAGTACAACAGAACTGCGCGTGCGGGTCATGCAGATTAAGAAAGGTCATGGGGTCACAAACTTTGGGCATCGGTGGGATTGGCTGTCCGCTTTATGAACAGAACGACAATCGCCTAAAAACTTCCGGATTCATTGAATTCCACGGATACATCATCAAAATGAGGCAGAAATTCAGACACTACTATAGCCCCGACTAATAGTAAGACCGACGGGAAACAAAAATAAATTCATCGTAATGCTAGCGTGAATGGCAGATGATTAAAACATTCGAAATTTATTTTATTTTATTTTTGTTGTTGTTTTTATCTCCAAACTATCATATAAGACCGACGACTTTTACATATAACTATGTGAAGGGAGGTAATCCAATATGGCGGATGCAGAACTCGGGAATGATAACCCCAGGAATGGCATGTACCTGCGTATAGTGCGCACCCCCTTTTTGACACGATAGTTTCAGCTTAAAAAAGTGCGCACTATACGCGAATATTTACGGTAATTACACCTATTTGCTGATTGGGTGAATTTTCATGGAGGAGATGCCAAAATCTACATCCTGAATAAGGAGGGGTTGCAAATATGATTGATTTAAATGAACAATAAACTTAAATTTATATTACAACAATTGCAAAACATAAGGAGTAGGACCCATTGATTCACTACCTATATAGAAACAGCGGCATTTTTCTCTACTTCTGATATAACTGTAAAATAAGTTACAGCAACTCTTACTGATCACTCTTGTTGGCTTGGATGTAAGTTTGTGAGGGGTCTTACTTTGGGAGGAAACTGAAGTACCCGTGATAAACCGACGGGGTCGGACAGATGTCCTTGTACCTTTTCATGTTCGTTACGGGAATCAAACCCAGAACAACTAGGCATCACCACTGCACCACCTGACCACTCTGGGCAGTGATATAGTACTTCTTTCTACAAAGACAATAACATATGTGAATGGGCTTATTACCAGACATGGGCTTTTTACCAGACATAGGCTTTTTTACCAGACATGGGCTTATTGCTGGACAAAAACAGAAAAGTTTACAACACTTTTATGCAAAATCAGTGAGTATACTTGTTACATCTATATACAGAAGTTTTTCTGTTCCTGTAGCAAATGAACAAAGGAAATACACTGAACAGCTGACCTAGTCAACACACACTGAACAGCTGACCTAGTCAACACACACAGAACAGCTGACCTAGTCAACACACATTGAACAGCTGACCTAGTCAACACACACTGAACAGCTGACCTTGTGAACACACACTGAACAGCTGGCCTAGTCAATACACGCTGAACAGCTGACCTAGTCAACACACATTGACCAGCTGACCTAGTCAACACACATTGAACAGCTGACCTAGTCAACACACACTGAACAGCTGACCTTGTGAACACACACTGAACAGCTGGTCTAGTCAATACACGCTGAACAGCTGACCTAGTCAACACACGCTGAACAGCTGACCTAGTCAACACACCCTGAACAGCTGACCTAGTCAACACACAAAGAACAGTTGACCTAGTCAACACACAAAGAACAGTTGACCTAGTCAACACACACTGAACAACTGATCTAGTGAACACACACAGAACAACTGACCTAGTCAACACACACTGAACAGCTGACCTTGTGAACACACACTGAACAGCTGACCTAGTCAACACACGCTGAACAGCTGACCTAGTCAACACACAAAGAACAGTTGACCTAGTGAACACACACAGAACAGCTGACCTAGTGAACACACACTGAACAGCTGACCTAGTGAACACACACTGAACAGCTGACCTTGTGAACACACGCTGAACAGCTGACCTAGTCAACACACAAAGAACAGTTGACCTAGTCAACACACACTGAACAACTGATCTAGTGAACACACACTGAACAGCTGACCTAGTCAACACACGCTGAACAGCTGATCTAGTGAACACTTCGTGCGAGTTAACAGGGTAGAAACGTTGTTAACATTTCAAAAATATTTTTTTATGTTGAAATAATTGCAAACTAAAATCCGGAAATTTGGAACATTAAATCACAAACTCCACAGCAGTTTGACATCTTGTACTCTACAGCTCTCACAAAAATGATATATGTTATATATATGCACCTCCCAGACTCTTAACTGCCATTCAGCTACTGGAGTATGATATAGCCATTTGTAAGATGTTTGAAGCATGTTTTAAAATATTATTTTTTAAACTTGACATACATACAAAAACGTTGTGTAATCTTGAGTCTGTAAAGTGTCAAGCTTTAATCTATCAATCATCCAGAAATAAACCAGTGTTTCACTAATGGAATCACCAATAAGACCATGTCTGCTAATAAGACCATGTCTGCTAATAAGCCCATGTCAAATATAGTTTAAAAGAAATATTGATAATTAATATTTCAATACCCAGCAATAAGCCCACCTCTTGCCTTTTGTTTTCAGGCTTTGAACATTTATTGAATGATATCATAAAATTGCAGGCTTGTGATACTGTACAGCTGAGAGTTATTTAAAACCAGTGTAATGAAGCATAGAGATTTGCAAAAATTTTCATACAAGCTACACAATTCTAAATATAGATCAGATCAATTTCAAAACTGACACAAAATTGGATCTCAATCCCTCCACCAAATCAAAAAATCTTTGAGGCAACCTGTTATAGAACATGAGGCCAGAATTTTGGAGCAAACTATTCAACAGAAAGTGCAGCAATGAGTATCAACAGAGAAATAAAACAGGTGTCTGGTATACCTGAAGTAATGTTTGTTGATTCCTTCAGAAAAAAGGAAAATTCGTGAATCTGAAAAACAACACTACAGGATGTCTGCTTCTTATGAACAAGACACAATAAATTGTCAACATCAGAATAAATAAGAGATACGAAATTGTCAAAATTAAGAGAAAAATGGTTTTTTACCGATTTCTACAGGAAGTGGCTACTTATTGCTACACAACAAGATGAGAGTGAGATATCAGTTAAGGACAGTGAGATGTAAGTTAGTGATAAAATGTTACATAATATGAATAAGTATCAAACTGTTATACAACATATATATAGCACACTGATCACCACCTACCTGCTTAACACTGAACACAATTTCCCAATTTAAATACGCACACCCTGAAAACCTTCAACACAACAGCTAAAGTTACTCAAATATCAGCTTATAAAAATCCTTAAGTTTACTGGCAAGGAAATAGCGATATCTAGGAAGTTTGTATGTAACACTTTGAAAGTGTAACACAGATAGCTCCGAGACTTGTTGATAAAAACAAGTAAGGTTACTGTCTTGTGTTGTTTGTTGGCGAGCATCGAAGTGCCTCCTAGGGCCAGAAACCAGATCAAACCCTGTTATCACCTCTAATACACATCCTAATGTGTTAGCTACAGGCTGATTATGTGAACACTTCAACTGTGTAACAATTGTGTACCCTGATTAAAATACTGCACATTTTTTTCCAAGTAAAAGCTTTTTTGTGTGTTAGGTATGAGTGTATAAGTTTCAATAAAAATCTAGATCAACCATAGATAGCTGAGCCGATGAACCAGAAAATATTTTATACACCTATGGGAATTTGTTAAATTCCTGCTTAAAATGAGATTTTTTGTAGACGACAAATAGGCTAAATTTTCATGGGTTATCAACTTTTTAATAAAAGAATTTAAAAGCAAAAAGTATTTGATTGTATGTATTTAAGTGTTTAATACAAAAAATTGAACAGCCTACGGCAATATGTCGGACAACACCCCACAGACTTCATGACTGATATCATCTAGAATTAACGTTTTATAATATATTTACAAACATGTGCACATTTAAAAATAAATATGGAATTTGATTTGAGTTTTCACTTCATATGAGATTTTATAGAATAAATCTTCAAATTTTTATTGTTGTGAGCCTTAGCAACCAAAACTCAAAACTTCAAGATGAGATTCATAAAAATTTGAACCAACTATAAACAAATTTACGATATCTTTTATCAGATAACCCAGAATAGAGGTTTTAAAGTAAAAATGTAAAAAAAGTGAAACGGAAACAGCGATTTTGTTGTGCCATTTTCAATTATAACGTAACATTATGGTCTATATATTATGACATCACAATGGATATCTGACTGGTACAACCAATGAAATATGTGCCTGGGTATATTACACCATATGACATAAGTGCAAAATTATAGGTGTAATCACCAGATAACAAGGAGATAGAATACTGTACTTATTCTGTAGTAAACAGCACACAACTTCTGTATCTAAATTAGTGAATAAACTTATTACAGGATTATAGAATACAAATTGTTGGTAACTCTATTGAACATCAACAGACACCCATCAACAGATACAGATACTGGCAGGCTTATTACCAGGCATGGCCTTACTGCCTGGTATATACGGTAAACATTTTTTTTTTAGAAAAGGAAGTTATACTCTGAAGTAAGGCCTACACTGTAAAACTGACCAAAAATATGCAAACAATTTGAAGAAACTACTTCAGAAATCAATTTTGTAAAAACAACTTGATTTTCCTTGAAACAAATATATCCATTTTAATTTTATATAAAAAAAAACCTTTTTTATTTAAAAATAATACATTTTTATTTGAACAAAAATACTTTTTGATTTGGAAACGCTAATAATATTTCATAATGACATCATCAAATCCTAACCATGTAATGTTTTTAATAAAATGTCTTTCAATACTACATTTAAATATACATTGCATTTACTTGTAGGTATTCATAAAGATATCTCTCGTGTCGTAGGGCGTGTGATTCGAAACCCTTCTATTGTAACTACACATGTGATGGGAACATTTTTCTCGTGTCATATATCACATAATCTCAGTCAGCTGTGAAAATATCTGGAAGGGAAATACACTGAAAAGTACACTAACTCTCGAAGTACAGCCTCCAGGATATAAATATCAGCATTTAAAGGGAGAGAACTCTTGGCAAACTGTAAAAACGTTGGCTTCACCTCTACAAATTGCTTCTATGGAACATTGATATTCCTAACATCAATTTGTTATAAACTGTTTATCAAATTGTTAAAACCTTCAAAAGTTTATCCTCTGTAGTGTAGATAGTATTGTCTGAAAATGTTAAACGATAAATTTTGGCCTAAATATACAGGAAAGCATCCTTCTTACACATAATTTCAAAACTGCAAGAAGTCTACCAGAAAAAGTACCTCAAGATATGTTTGAAGTTATTTATTAAAATGAGGTATGTTAAAGAAAAACTTCAAAAATGTTATTTTTTCAGCCTTAGTAGAAAATCTGAAACCAACTCTATAAAATCCTAGGCAGGAAAAAATCCTGTGCTTCACAGTGTGGCCAGCATGATAATTTTACACGGTTTCTTTTGCTGTTCAATTGTTTGTTTGGTTTATAACCCAATGAACAGTCATTTTGTGGCAGGGACTCCTTGTAATAGCTGGTGGCTGCCCCAATGAACAACATACTGGAGGCCCATTACAAGCCATCCAGAGCAATCAGGGTATAAGTGTCTTGCCCAAGGACACATCCACGTTAACACAAACCAGTCCCTTTCTATGTTTTCTTCAGAAACACAAACTGACACAGATAGTGAGCATCAAACCATGCACCTCTGATCTTCCTCTAAGGTTATGTAGGTCAACATTCTCACCAACAGAACTATTGGGTGTCGTGGTCCCTCTGATATTCTCATTCAGAGATTTATGAAGAAACTGCAGGGAAACAATCAAGTACCTTGTGTATGAGGTTAGTCTCTTGTAACCACGTACCTGTATTTCTTGTTCTCAGGCGACCTATACCAGGGGACGAGTTCAGTGCACTAAGACTGCTAGAGCGATTCCCTTCAGAAATCTTTGACAGAGTCTGAAATATAACATACATCATTTGAACATTTCTATTAAATCATAGCTGCCAATTATTATTTTCATATTCAAATATTTGAATTGTAACTCAATCCTGGTATTATTCTGAGATAGAAAGGAAAATATTTAAGATATCAAGTTGGTTATTTTTTTAAATACATAAATGAATTAAGAAAGGAATATATCTTGATCTCGGTGCAACAAGAACCAAACCAGGCCTGATAAATTTTAAACAATAAGAAATACAAGATCTATCGATGGAATGTCATTATAACATCTTCTCTCGATTAACAAAATACAAGTATTTGATATTTCTACACGGAAAGTGTTTTTACTGACATTTATAACAGTACATTAAACTGTGATGCCCTTGTCATCAACTCTTCAACTTTCCACTATTGAGGTGACCCCTTCTACTCACCATCTGTACAATACATAAACACTTTGAACAAAACCCAGATGATGACATTAAGAAGTCTGGTTCTTTTTTATCAAGATGCCCCGACCCGACCATGGATCAAACTAAAACAATATAAGTCATCAGAACAACAGCCTTTTCTTTTCTTCTCCGCTATCTCAGACCTGTCAACAGTAATACTATCAGGTCCTGGCTCTTTAACTGTTTAGTAGAGGGGAGGACTAGGGGTTAGTGGGGAGGGGGTAAGTCTATTGTAACAGGAGGGGTGTAAAGTATGGACTGGTCAGACTGTAGTGGGGGGGGGGCGCAGTATGTAGAGGGGAGGACTGAGGGTTAGTGAGGAGGAGGTAAGTCTATTGTAACAGGAAGGGTATAAAATATGGGCTGGTACAACTCTGTAGGAGGGGGGCGCAGTATGTAGAAGGGAGGACTGAGGGTTAGTGGGGAGGATGTAAGTCTATTGTAACAGGAGGGGTATAAAATATGGGCTGGTCAGACTCTGTGGGAGGAGAGGGCAGTATGTAGAGGGGAGAACTGAGGGTTAGTGGGGAGGATGTAAGTCTATTGTAACAGGAGGGGTATAAAATATGGGCTGGTCAGACTCTGTGGGAGGAGAGGGCAGTATGTAGAGGGGAGAACTGAGGGTTAGTGGGGAGGATGTAAGTCTATTGTAACAGGAGGGGTATAAAATATGGGCTGGTACAACTCTGTAGGAGGGGGGCGCAGTATGTAGAGGGGAGGACTGAGGGTTAGTGAGGTTAGGAGGGAAGTCTATTGTAACAGGAGGGGTATAAAGTATGGACTGGTCAGACTATGTAGGGGGCGCAGTATGTAGTGGGGAGGACAGAGGGTTAGTGAGGTTAGGAGGGAAGTCTATTGTAACAGGAGGGGTGTTAAGTATGGACTAGTATGACTCTTTGGTCAGGGAGGGCAGTAGGTCATAGTTATATGATGAGTATTTAACTATTAAGAAGAAAGGGAGAACTAAGGGCTATTGGGGATAGGATAAGGATGTTACCCAGGTATTTAAGGGAGAACTAAGGGCTACTGGGGATGGGATAAGGATGTTACCCAGGTATTTAAGGGAGAACTAAGGGCTATTGGGGATAGGATAAGGATGTTACCCAGGTATTTAAGGGAGAACTAAGGGCTACTGGGGATGGGATAAGGATGTTACCCAGGTATTTAAGGGAGAACTAAGGGCTATTGGGGATGGGATAAGGATGTTACCCAGGTATTTAAGGGAAGACTAAGGGCTATTGGGGATGGGATAAGGATGTTACCCAGGTATTTAAGGGAGGACTAAGGGCTACTGGGGATGGGATAAGGATGTTACCCAGGTATTTAAGGGAGGACTAAGGGCTATTGGGGATGGGATAAGGATGTTACCCAGGTATTTAAGGGAGGACTAAGGGCTACTGGGGATGGGATAAGGATGTTACCCAGGTATTTAAGGGAGGACTAAGGGCTATTGGGGATGGGATAAGGATGTTACCCAGGTATTTAAGGGAGGACTAAGGGCTATTGGGGATGGGATAAGGATGTTACCCAGGTATTTAAGGGAGGACTAAGGGCTACTGGGGATGGGATAAGGATGTTACCCAGGTATTTAAGGGAGGACTAAGGGCTATTGGGGATGGGATAAGGATGTTACCCAGGTATTTAAGGGAGGACTAAGGGCTATTGGGGATGGGATAAGGATGTTACCCGGGTATTTAAGGGAAGACTAAGGGCTATTGGGGATGAGATAAGGATGTTACCCAGGTATTTATGGGAGGACTAAGGGCTACTGGGGATGGGATAAGGATGTTACCCAGGTATTTAAGGGAGGATTAAGGGCTATTGGGGATGGGATAAGGATGTTACCCGGGTATTTAAGGGAAGACTAAGGGCTATTGGGGATGGGATAAGGATGTTACCCGGGTATTTAAGGGAGGACTAAGGGCTATTGGGGATGGGATAAGGATGTTACCCAGGTATTTAAGGGAGGACTAAGGGCTATTGGGGATGGGATAAGGATGTTACCCAGGTATTTAAGGGAGGACTAAGGGCTACTGGGGATGGGATAAGGATGTTACCCAGGTATTTAAGGGAGGACTAAGGGCTATTGGGGATGGGATAAGGATGTTACCCAGGTATTTAAGGGAGGACTAAGGGCTATTGGGGATGGGATAAGGATGTTACCCGGGTATTTAAGGGAAGACTAAGGGCTATTGGGGATGAGATAAGGATGTTACCCAGGTATTTATGGGAGGACTAAGGGCTACTGGGGATGGGATAAGGATGTTACCCAGGTATTTAAGGGAGGATTAAGGGCTATTGGGGATGGGATAAGGATGTTACCCGGGTATTTAAGGGAAGACTAAGGGCTATTGGGGATGGGATAAGGATGTTACCCGGGTATTTAAGGGAGGACTAAGGGCTATTGGGGATGGGATAAGGATGTTACCCAGGTATTTAAGGGAAGACTAAGGGCTACTGGGGATGGGATAAGGATGTTACCCAGGTATTTAAGGGAGGACTACGGGCTACTGGAGATGGAATAAGGATGTTACCTGGGTATTATAGGAGAAATGTTAAGCATAAACTAGTCAGATACTTCACTTGTCTCTCGATCATAGATTTTACGTTGGGTATTCGGTATATACACTTTTTCCACTGGCTTCAATTTTATCATCATATAATCCAGATTATAAGCAGCACCCTTTGTCCTCGCTAGTTGCGCATGTGGCTTAAATACTGATGCAGCTTATATGTGGACAAAAAAATTTGACAGGATGAAAAAAAAGGCATAAAAAGCGGAAAGTATACCAGTACATCAGTTGGATCCTGTACCAAGTTTTTTTAACAAGTACCTGTCCGTCAGATGATTGTGACTGAAATAGATAGTCTAGAAATGTCATTTGCAATTGTATACGGGATGATTTGAAGATTGATTAATGAAAATAACATTCTCATGGATCTAATTAATTATACCTTTAATATGAATCACAATAATATCTTTGGGACTTTCGCACTTACTTTGAAGCCATAGCGAAAGTTTACTATAGCCTTTTGCATCCTGGAATTGATAGGTAATTGGGTTATAGGTCAAATTCTAGAATGACCGCCATGCTTGTTTACGATATGAATGGCTTCATGTAACTTACAAGAAGAAATTATATGGGATTATAAGAATTTAGTAACCATGTAAGGGCCTTCGTTAATATCTAACAGAACTGACACTGATGGAGAGACTGTTTAGTCAACTGTACGTAACGTCAGGCCCTATCTCTGTGCGTCCACAATCTGTGAAGGCACCCAAGCCAAACAAGTTCAATATTTGCTATTCTATGTTTTTTGAAATGCAAGTACATCAAAACACTAATGGATCATCTGTGTATAATTCATTTTCAAACTTGTATGAAATATTTCACTGATGATTTTGATAAATTGCCTTCCATTGTCTGTTATATCAACAAAATTTGGTCAATGTAACACTTCGTAAGAACTGCCTCTCGTGATCTGTTACCAGTATGTCAAACAACAACTAAAGTGGTCACTATATCATAAGAAAATGCAGCTTATATTATATGTGGATCAAATCGGAAAAATCACTAAAAACTGCATATATACCAGCGTGGCTTATAACCTGGAAAATATGGTACTTCATTGGGCTGACTTTGTGTTGATTTTATAATTTGAAGAAAAATTTCATTTTGTTCAGCTGATAACAACACACCTATTATGACGCAATCTGGGCTGTGCGAACATTTGTAAATCAATCTAGCTAGATCTATAAAGAATTTCTGCAAATTAAATATCATAGTGTACGATTTCCATAAGAACATAAGTAGATGATTTGTACAGTTTTCTTTAAAACTTTCTATAAAATCTCAACTTGTGTGAAGTATCCCTTTAACTTGGCATCTTATTCATTGAACATTGATGAAAATATGGGTCAAGGTAATTTCTTTTAACAAAATATGTCGAACTTGATGTCAACAAGCTTCTGGATGAAGTTGTCTCAACAAATTTGACCCTCATGATCATGAATATAGGACCTGTGTATTTCATTTCTCCCACTTTAAAGGACTAAATGTCATCAAACTGCTGTTTAGATATCACTATTATGTGTCTTTTCATTACTGGATTAGCAAAGTTTGCTGATCTCTTCCAAGAAACTACCAGCCTAATATTATGACTCTTTACTAAATGGTTTTAAAGAAGAAGTTGTCTGATGAAAAGTTTTAGGACAGCAAAAAGATGACAAAATACCATGGACTTAGGTAGATGAATTCATTATATATATGTCTATGATATACCCTGTACTTACATCGTAAATATGTGATATAAACGTTATATTGTACACTTTTATTACATTATCTTGTAAGTGTATTTGGTGGATAAGAACTTGCCTTCCACTCTAGTTAATCTATCCGATAAAAAACTGTTGTTGCCTGGTTTTTAAGAATTTCTTAAGTACTTCAGTTATTTATGACTTGAAACCGACCAATTTGTTTACACAAGTTTAGACTTCAAGTTTTGATATTCACATCAACATATGGTAGATTCAACAAACATTTTCTATAATGTACATGTTGTGATGATACACATCTAGGTGAAAAAGACCCTATCTCTAAACCATAGCAAATCAAAATTAATAAAACTGTACTTTGCACTGTTTGCTTCAAGATTGGTTCCAAATAAAACACACAATAACTGTCTGTAAAATGTCAACAGGGGGGTGGAAAAACATGATACAAGGTGCAGGTTAAGGCGTTTCAGTGAGATGGCACTATAAAAGTGTAAGTTAAGTGGTCCAAGTATCCATGATCATTTGGGCCCTAATGACCTTTTATGTGTTGAAGGGTCGTTAAGAATGTAATAATAAACATATTCATATGACCTTATATGTTGGGAAGGTACGACAAACCTCAAAAAAAAGTAAAATAAAGTCAGATAAAAACATTATGAAAAGGTAAACAGCTCTTCAAGATAAAAGACGTCAGTCAAGATACCAAGAGAAAAACACCAGACCAGTGACATCAAACTACAAGCATCGGACCAGTGACATCAAACTACAAGCATCGGACCAGTGACATCAAACTACAAGCATCGGACCAGTGACACCAGACTAAAGACACCAGATCAATAACACCAGAACAGTGACACCAGACTAAAGACACCAGATCAATAACACCAGAACAGTGACACCAGAACAGTGACACCTGACCAGTGACACCAGACCAGTAACACCACACTATTAACACCTGACCAGTGACACCAGACCAATAACACCAGACCAGTGACACCAGACTAAAGACACCAGATCAATAACACCAGAACTGTGACACCAGAACAGTGACACCAGACCAATGACATCAGACCAATACCACCAGAACAGTGACACCAGACTAAAGACACCAGATCAATAACACCAGAACTGTGACACCAGAACAGTGACACCAGACCAATGACATCAGACCAATACCACCAGAACAGTGACACCAGACTAAAGACACCAGATCAATAACACCAGAACAGTGACACCAGACTAAAGACACCAGATCAATAACACCAGAACTGTGATACCAGAACAGTGACACCAGACTAAAGACATCAGACCAATAACACCAGAACAGTGACACCAGAACAGTGACACCAGACTAAAGACACCAGATCAATAACACCAGAACTGTGACACCAGAACAGTGACACCAGACCAATGACATCAGACCAATACCACCAGAACAGTGACACCAGACTAAAGACACCAGATCAATAACACCAGAACTGTGACACCAGAACAGTGACACCAGACCAATGACATCAGACCAATACCACCAGAACAGTGACACCAGACTAAAGACACCAGATCAATAACACCAGAACAGTGACACCAGACTAAAGACACCAGATCAATAACACCAGAACTGTGATACCAGAACAGTGACACCAGACTAAAGACATCAGACCAATAACACCAGAACAGTGACACCAGAACAGTGACACCAGACTAAAGACACCAGATCAATAACACCAGAACTGTGACACCAGAACAGTGACACCAGACTAAAGACACCAGATCAATAACACCAGAACTGTGACACCAGAACAGTGACACCAGACTAAAGACACCAGATCAATAACACCAGACCAGTGACTCCAGACTAAAGACACCAGATCAATAACACCAGAACAGTGACACCAGACTAAAGACACCAGATCAATAACACCAGAACTGTGACACCAGAACAGTGACACCAGACTAAAGACACCAGATCAATAACACCAGAACAGTGACACCAGACTAAAGACACCAGATCAATAACACCAGAACTGTGACACCAGAACAGTGACACCAGACTAAAGACACCAGATCAATAACACCAGACCAGTGACACCAGACTAAAGGCACCAGATCAATAACACCAGACCAGTGACACCAGACTAAAGACACCAGATCAATAACACCTGACCAGTGACACCAGACTAAAGACACCAGATCAATAACACTTGACCAGTGACACCAGACCAATAACACCTGACCAGTGACACCAGACTAAAGACACCAGATCAATAACACTTGACCAGTGACACCAGACCAATAACACCTGACCAGTGACACCAGACTAAAGACACCAGATCAATAACACTTGACCAGTGACACCAGACTAAAACATCAGCCCAGTGACACCAGATCAATAACACCAGACCAGTGACTCCAGACTAAAGACACCAGATCAATAACACTTGACCAGTGACACCAGACCAGTGACATTTCCCTGACCAGATTTTAAGGTATGCCTAAGGTGACAGATTATTTTCCCTATCAATGCCTCATTACCACTTCCCTGATAAATCAGCATCAGGTTCACTCTCTTGCCTTATCTCTGTCCCAAAATAACCGTGTGTTCCTCTGAGAGGTATTTACAGTTAGATATACATGTGTGTTCTGGATTTAAACACCGACAGTTTCACCTCAAACTTAAAGAGATGTCTGTCTACATGTTTATATGTGTCTAGAAAGTTTTACAAAATTGTCTAAAATAAAAAAGTTTCAAGCAGGAAAAATTCTCTTTAACCTCTGAGCATGACATTGATCTTGTTTAAGTGGTGTATACCATCAAATTATCTGAACTCTAGCAAAGCATTACATCAGTGATAATGCATATTTGACCTTTGACCTGTATTAATCACCTGACTTAAGATGAAGAAATGAATAATTAAGAACACAAAAATAGTGTGTTTCTCGTAAGTTTGCAAATGTTTTACTGAAATCATTTGTGGTAGTTATAATTCCCCATAACATTGTGATTTTCCAAAAATGTTTTGCCTCCAAGTCATTTTTCATAAAAAATAGTCAGCCAAACACACATCCATTCCGCTGCATTTGTAATTAAATACAAATCACTGATATTATTGTGTATTGTTCTTTTTCATTAAAATTCATATAATTTCTCATTTGTAAACTTTAAATTATGATTGTAACCAAGTAAAATTATTGTTTTATGTAATTTTTGATGAACAATTCAGAAAAAATTTATACAATCTTTAAAATAGAATACAGTATGATTTTCTACATTTTCCAAAATTGCATTAAAGTTTTCCACACTGAAAAAATTGAATCTCGAAATATACAAAAGAAAAACACTGTTGGCTTTAAAAGCGGTTTAAATGGCAAAGGACACAGATACCCTCTTCTTGCTGTCAAAAACTTTTTTAAAGCTGTATCACCTGCTGAAGAATGAATATTTGTAAAAACATCTCCCATTCAGACTAAAAAGAATGAATATTTGTAAAAACATCTCCCATTCAGACTAAAAAGAATGAATATTTGTAAAAACATCTCCCATTCAGACTAAAAAGAATGAATATTTGTAAAAACATCTCCCATTCAGACTAAAAAGAATGAATATTTGTAAAAACATCTCCCATTCAGACTAAAAAGAATGAATATTTGTAAAAACATCTCCCATTCAGACTAAAAAGAATGAATATTTGTAAAAACATCTCCCATTCAGACTAAAAAGAATGACAATCACAAATCGGTTTATTTCAAAACTATTGAAAAATAAAAAGTTTTTTTCATTAACCTTGCATCTATTGATTGAAGGACAAATAAATTGACCTTTTGTGTATTTGAAGGACAAACAATGATAAGAATCAGAATTTCACGAGGATAAAGAGTTAAGAAGATGAAAGAGGAAAACAGAGTACACAGACAAAAATCACACTATATTGGTCCACATCACCTCAATGTACCTATATCTTCAATCATCCATTTCCTCCGTGCGTCTCCCTAACGAGGTTTCGACACCGGTGAAAAGTTCAACTTACCTGTACTCTTTGGAAGACAAATCCCTTCCGTCGAACTGCCTGTCGGCGTTGGAAACGTGAAGAATCATCCTCGGAAACACTTCCCATTTTGATTTGAGGAAATGAGATTCTCACAAATGAAACCATGTACTTTTTCTATTGTGTTAACCCCTAAAAAAATACAAAATATATCAGAATATACTTTGAAAGCATTTAGGTCAGCAAATGTCACACTATGTCCCAGAAAAGATACCATTACAAAGTGTTACAATATTTGAATATACTTTCAAATTTAACTGAAATTCACATCTCTTCGGAAGTTCTCAATAAAACATTTCAGTCATGTATAGATATTTACCTGTAACATATAGGTCTAACTGTGTATATCTGCGTACAGGTAATTATCCTATTTCAGCATGACATGAAGTATATTCAAAATTTTCACTGAACCATGACAATATGTAAACACGCACATTTTACACCCATCCTAAAGATTTTACATCTTGTTTCCACGGAAACCTGGTACAAATTTCACTTAACCTTCATTTATGATTTTTCTGATAGCAGAACTTAATCAACCCTGCTTGGTAATATCCAGGTGAGATTTAAATGTAAAAATATCATTTATAACCTACCTTTCTTGGGTGTAACTTTCCAAAGAGCAGGTAGGTGAATGAAATTTTACGTATACATAAAATTAAGCCTAACTGAAGTATAGCACAAAAACAGATCCATGAATCATCATATTTCACAAACATCAAAATAAGTTAAAAGAATTTATAAAGTTTGAACTCAAACTGACAGTATTTTGCAGGTAAGACTTGTTTATACCTGTAGGTATAATATAAGTAAATGACAACTACACGAATTTGTTATGAACTAATTTCAATTTACAACTATACACACATCAGATATCAGGACTAAATTAGTCTCGTCACATTAAATGATACTAACCCGTAATGGAATGTAACACTCCCAATTAAAACTTCTTCACATCTGAAGACAAATCCGCACGCAACAGGAAATCGCACACATTGACGACATCGTGAAATAGCTGAAATAACGACAATTTTACTCCTCTTCAATATTCACGCCCACAAGACAAACTCGTCCGCTCCTCGAGAGTAAAGATAAGCTGTAACCTTACCTATAGCTCTTACAGTGGCATGTGGTTTGTCTTGATCAAATATTAGTTTATAAAAAAAAAAGTGTTTACTGTTGAAAAGAATACGACTCGTTCACTGCTTTTTGATTATAAACAAGTTGACAATGCTTTAAATATCCGAACTATTTTGTAACGTGTTATTTCATTGGACAAACTTCATCCGGGCTGCTGTCACTTAATTGACTTGACCACCACCCTCAAATTAACGAAAAAAATAACTGTTTTTCATCTGAATAGCTTACAAGAATAAAAACTTTCTGTAGGCATTAACTCAAATATTACCTTCAGTGATCTTTCAAGAAGTTAATGATGTATGATAGGGTTTAACCCAGTGGGCAGTTTAAGGTGCACAGTATCAGTCTGCTTAATAAGAACTTGAAATAGTTTAATTTCTGCGCCGCTTTTTCTCCGCGGTCGTGATATTCAACAGCTCGCTGAAATGGGAAACAGCGCGAAGGAATAAATGAAAAGTTATACATATATATAATTTGAAATAAAAGTGAATTTTTCTAAACAATTCACTACAGACTGGCGATAATTTGTAATCATGTAGCGATAGTATTGCCTATATCTACGTCCCTGCCTGTACGCGCGCAGTGTCTCTATGATTTGTTCATTGCCTGGTTCAGAAGGTCAAATAATTAGAGACGATGACATTGCTTCCTCCTTAAAATAAACATGAAATGACAAGTCCATCTTTGTTAATGTGTTTGGTTGTAAGTTGACCATAACAATAAGAGATTGTCCTAACGGCTGAAATGATTTCCGGACAATTTTGACAATTGGCCAATCGAGTTTCCGGCTAGAGAAGTAATAGAAAATAAGATATAGCCAAGATCACGGAATTTCTCTACTGTATGACATGTGTATTCATTGACTGAAGAATATCTACTAATTATCATACATATTAAGATGTAAATAACAGGGGCGTTGTCAGAGTAGTATAGAGGCGGATGTATCATCGTATATTCTTGTTTACTGTCCGAACCGCGTAAATCCGAACTCGCTGTAAGGAGGGGCGGGGGCGCGATGGTCCTGCGACATTCTTCCCCGTTAAAAAAACAAACGAATATCGCGACTCTCTGGAACTCTCTTTCGTGTAATCTGAACAAAATTTAGACATCATTTAACTATTCAAAACTGCAGACTTAATTACTTATTCAATTATTTTTCCCCAAAGACACATGGTTTAGAAACAAAATGTCTTGCCGTTTTCTCTCTGTCTCTCTGTCTCTGACTCTCTCTCTCTCTCTCTCTCAGGCAAGTGACCCCATACCTTTTCACGTCAGTTCACTTTGTTGACACTGCACCACTCGCACAACAAGACATATGTGCATGTATGCTGTTTTATAAATAGATGCGATAGTTAATAGGTCACAAAAACATTGAATTAAGTTGAATCGGTACCTTGCAGGAAACTCGTGAAAGATAAGAGGTGTCCCTTATTCCAGTTTGGAGTCGTGAACTATTTATTACAGTTCTGACTTAGAAGTTTGCACTCGTCCGCTGAAAGGCCAAACGGCCATAATAGTGAACGTAAAATCCGATAAATAAATAAATAAATAAATAAAAGTTCGCCAATTGAAAGCATTATATCAAGATCACCACAATCAAAACCAGTCAGTAGAAGACTGAGGATGAAAAGTCGATAACCAACAGGTGTTTAAGACTTGTTTGGATTATAAATATGATCGCTGTGTAACTTTTAACGGATGTTTTGTTTCGGGTAATAATTTCAGAGTCAACTGGAAAGGGTCTTTTTTTAGATTGTTAACAAGTAACGGTAGATTCTGAGTGAGGAATATTGATTCCATCCTAGTTTCAATAATCTGAATTTAGACTCCATCTGCTTATCAAATTAGAAAAAAGACACGGATTCACAGGAGTGCTATACCGAACTATCAAAATTATATTTATGTATACAAAGAAAGAGTGACGTGTTAGTGTTTTCGACTGATTTTTGTTATGGCTTCAGTGATCCAAGGGAGATAACCGATGTTATGCGCTTTCATTTTCTCTAATGTCAATGTAAGGGTCCCAGTATAGTAACTTCACAACGTGTTGTGGTCTTAAAACACTTCAACCAAAACGATCAAAACCCAATTACCATTGGAGTTGTAATTTCATTTCAGCTCTCTCTTTATAATATCGGATTTACATGTTTTTATAGAAACTTAATTTACTTTACCACAAATGCGAATAAAACTATCCGCTTATATTGATCACTCTTGTTGGGCCGAATGTAAGCGAATGGGAAGGGGGGTCTTATTATGGGAGGAGTACCCAGGGAAAACCCACGTGGTCGGGCAGGTGATCCATACCTTTTCAAGTCCGTTCCGAGAATCGAACCCCGGACGGCAGGGTGATGATACGAAAGTGTTACCACTTCGCCACCTGACCAGTCTGTTTTTGACATTACAGTACTGGGGACTTGAACAGTTATGCTTAAATGAAACATTATTAAGTTTGTCCACTTTAGTATTAATTGATACATAAGCTATTATTTTGCAGTCTATATAGTTACATTCATAGGTGTCGGTTTGGTAAATGCAAAAAGGCGTCCAGTGTATTCAGATAGCTATATTAAACCGTTTCCGTTTGACGTTGCTTTACTGCGAATGTTCAAGGTTGGAATATTTTCAATTTTAAATTTATTGTAGTTAAGTTTTAACTGAACAGAAATGTACTCCTATTGACTTTGCTCTAAAGTCTTCAACTTAAAAAAATCTTTCAAACAGTAACAACGTCACTCCATTTGCATACATCTATGGAGAGGCGTAGGTCTGAAATTGAACACAAACACATTCCGACGCGTTTTTCCTCCAAACTCATTGAAATCTAATAGATGTTATCTTCATGACATGCAGTGATGCTTTATTAAGTGGCATTTCATTGTGCATTTTTCAGTATCTTAGTGTTGTCCGCAGATTGTTTCCCACAGTCTACAGCTGATCTCTTAAAAGGTTTACTGTATCATAGCCCTGAGAAGAAAAGCGCATTGTAACGCAGCTTTTTTTTTTAGTGGCGTGAGGGGGGGGGGGTGGGCTCTGAGGGGAGTGGGGAGGAGGGTCTGAGGGGAGGAGGGGAGGAGGGTCTGAGGGGAGTGGGGTCTAAGGGGAGTGGAGAGGAGGGTCTGAGGGGAGTGGGGTTTGAGAGGGGTGGAGAGGAGTGGGTTCTGAGGGGAGTGGGGTTTGAGAGGGGTGGAGAGGAGGGTCTGAGGGGAGTGGGGTTTGAGAGGGGTGAAGAGGAGGTTCTGAGGGGAGTGGAGAGGAGGGTCTGAGGGGAGGGGGGTTGGAGAGGGGTGGAGAGGAGGGTCTGAGGGGAGTGGGGTTTAAGAGGGGTGGAGAGGAGGGTCTGAGGAGAGTGGGGTTTGAGAGGGGTGGAGAGGAGGTTCTGAGGGGAGTGGAGAGGAGGGTCTGAGGGGAGTGGGGTTTGAGAGGGGTGGAGAGGAGGGTCTGAGGGGAGTGGGGTTTAAGAGGGGTGGAGAGGAGGGTCTGAGGGGAGTGGGGTTTGAGAGGGGTGGAGCGGAGGGTCTGAGGGGAGTGGGGTTTAAGAGGGGTGGAGAGGAGGGTCTGAGGGGAGTGGAAAGGAGGGTCTGAGGGGAGTGGGGTTTGAAAGGGGTGGAGAGGAGGGACTGAGGGGAGTGAGGTTTGAGAGGGGTGGAGAGGAGGGTCTGAGGAGAGTGGGGTTTGAGAGGGGTGGAGAGGAGGGTCTGAGGGGAGTGGAGAGGAGGGTCTGAGGGGAGTGCGGTTGGAGAGGGGTGGAGAGGAGGGCCTGAGGGGAGTGGGGTTTGAGAGGGGTGGTTGTTGTTAGTGATTTTTCTTTTTTCCCCTGATATATTCATCTTGTCGAAATATCTGCTCGAGCGAGCTTTTAAAGATATCTGTTTCGATAGCACAAAATATAGTTCAGCTAGATGGCACCTTGATTCAGCCTTGAAAAT